CAAATAGCTGGAGCCGTAAGCAGGTTTGAAGCAAAAGATTCCGGAAAGCTCCCTTCTCAAACATAACAAAATCCAAGACAACATGTAAATGCTATCATGTTGAGAAGCGGACAAGAAGTGCAAGAAAAAGAGGAGGATGAAGAGGAAAAGCAACCGGAAGAGATGATCACAAAGAGCCCACCAGTGTCATCATATGAACCATAACCCCCTTTTCCCGAAGTATTGAGGGAGACAAGGCCGCTGAACAATGACAAAGACATGTACGAGACATTCGCCCAATGCGAGGTAAACATTCCCTTCCTCAACTCAATTAAAAGTGTCCCTCGATTTGCAAAATTTTTAAAAGAATTATGCACAATCAAGAGGACCCAAAACTTAAATAGAAAACAGAAAATTGAAATTAGTGAACATGTCTCGGCAGTTTTTCAAAAGAAACTTCCAAAAAAATTCACTGACCCAGGCATGTTCACTATACCATGCAAGCTAGGAGACACCACTTTTGGGGCCATGTTAGACTTAGGGACATCAATTAACGTGATCCCCTATACTCTTTATGATTCCTTGGACCTTATCCCTTTAAAGAAAACCGGTGTCATAATCCAACTAGCCGATGGATCAACTGTTTCTCCAAAAGAGGTGGTGGAAGATGTACTTGTCTCGGTAAGCGATCTAGTGTTCCCTGCTGATTTTTATATGATTGAAATGGAGAGTAATAGACATGAAGTCCCTATTCTTAAAAACTGCTAGTTCAAAAATCAATGTGTCTAGCGGGCTTTTAACTATGGAATTTGATGGAAGAAAAATAGAATATAACATCTATAATTCTATGAAAAATCACTCTCCATTTAAAGAAAAAATGAATCAATCTTGATCATTGAGCAAGCACTAGACAAATCACCGTTAAATAAACCCTCTGAAAATGAATCAAAACCATCGGAAATTGAGGTGGTAACTAAAATGAAAATCTGGTCTAAATGGAAAAGACCGAAACAAAAAGATAAAAAGGTGCCGCACAAGGCCGTTGTTTTTGAAGAAGGGGTTACTCATGATCCCACCTGAAAAAAAAATGAATAACGTCGGGCCACGACGTTAACTAAGGTGCTTCTTGAGAGGCAACCCAAGTTTTATTTTTCATTTTTTCGAGTGTTTAAAGTTCATTTTTTTTAATTGTTTGAGAGATCAGTGAGAGAGGGCACTAATCGCATGTTTTGGAGAAAAAAGGAAAATGCAGGTTTTGAAGTATTTGGGGCCATACCCGATCGAGTACCACCTTAGACTCGGTCGGGTATGGCTAAAAAAGGGGAACTGAATCACTACTCGATCGAAGGAATATATTTTTTCAAGAATACATGTATACTCGATCAGGTACAATCCCATACCCGGTCGAGTATTCATAAAAAGGCAAAGCTAAAAGGAACCTGCCCTGGACACTCGATCGAGTACGGGGTTCAAATATTGCAAAAGGAAGAATACTCGATCGGGTATCACTACACACCCGATCGAGTATGTTCAGAAGGACGAAACCAAATAGAGCTTGCTCCCAGCACTCGATCGAGTACAGGGCTCAAAATGTGAAAAAAGAAACATACCCGGATGGGTATGACTATACACCCGGTCGGGTATTGCTGGAAATTCAAAAGCCCAAACAAACTGTCTCCAATATCCGATCGGGTATGGCAAGATACTCGGTCGAGTATGGCTGGAAAACTGAAGTCCTGAACAAACTGTCTCCAGTACCTGATCGGGTATCACACAATACTCGATCGGGTATACCTGCGTTTTAACCTCGATCGGGTATCACATTTCGTTTGTTTAACCACACCTATTCAATAACGAAACTTGAGTTTGCCGAACATTTTGGCATCCCCGTCCCCTATGAAAAAGCCATCTCCGACAACACCATTTTCGGTCATTCATTGTGGACCAAGATGACCGGAAAAATGAACTTTAGCTCCTCCCAACTATATATCAGTCATGTTCAACACCCCGTCCTCCGATTGTTCTTGAAGTTTTTAGCAAAAAATGTGGGGACTAAGTGTGGGGGAGAGACTCCTCATGGTATGTAATTTTATTTCTTACCTTTCACTACGCATGAATTTCTTTTACCCTTGATACACAAAAAAAAACAAAAAAAAAACAAAAAAATAAATAAAAGAAAAGAATTGCTAGTTAGGTTGAAAACCCAACAAAAATGGGCAATCTAAGCAAAAAGGGCTTATAAAAAAATGAGTGAGTTGGGGAGAATGGAAAATAAAATGAGATGCTAGGATGAAAACCTGAAAAGGCTCCTAGGCAAAATGAGAGATATGAGAGAAATATTTATTTTTGCAGGCACTCATTTGATCTCTTTGGAAAATAAGAAGATTCAAAAAGAAGAAGAAGAAGAAGAGAGGAGAAGAAGAGAAGATGAGCACTAGAAGGCCATAAAACCCAAGATGATATTTGTAATTTGAGCTTAAAACTCATGTTTTATCCTTGGTGGTCTTTGTGTTTTTATCTTGTTTGTTGAAACTTTGGAAGACTTGACACTTGTGAACATTTGACTTTACTCGAGGACGAGTAAAGAAACTAAGTGTGGGGGAGTTGATAATAATGTAATTTCCATGTGTATGTTTGTATTTTTAATTAGTTTTGATTGATTTTTACTTTGGAAATTACACACTTTTGGTGTAATAGTTTAGTTTGTTAAATTCTTGTAAATTGTTTAGATTAGGTTTATTCTGAGCTCAAACAGGTCTTGATCACTCAAAGGAAAGTTGGTGAACCCCAAAAGTGGAAGAAAAGTGCATAATCTCAAGACAAAATAAGGATCCTGAATTTTTGGTCTATACCCGGTCAGGTATCATCTATACTCGATCGGGTATCTTGTTTAAACTTCAAATCGGATCGGATCTGAAGACAAAGAAACATGCATGGAAGATTTTGACCACGATCGAGTGTCTATACCCGATCGGGTAGACCGACATACCCGATCGGGTATGCCTTTGAATTTAACCCCAAATTCGGTCGAGTATAGCTCGAATATCATTTTCTACACATACTCGATCGGGTATAAATACACACCCGATCGGGTATACCTATATAATATAGCCCAGAACCGATCGAGTATGCTTCGAAGTTAACGTTTTACACATCCCGATCGGGTACTGTGTATATACCCGATCGGATACCCGAACTGCATCCCAAAAGCCTATAAATACACCTCCTTTCCTTCACAATAAAAAAACAAATTCCTATATACTTCAAAGCTCAGTCTAGAATAGTTCTTTCTTTATATTTTCTTCATGTTTAGTCTTCAAATGAGGAGCTAAACTCTTCCATCTTGGTTTTGCTACTTTTAAGCTTAATGATTTGTAAGTTGTGAGTTATTTTCTTTAACCTTCTTCCTTGAATATTAATTACTTCCTATTCATATTCCATATTAATATTTTGAGCATTACTTTAAAGATCAACTAATTTTGTTTCATATATCAATTATTACTAGAATCAATCGGTTAATACGCTTGTTATTAATTCGGTTCCTTCAAAGGTAGTACTTGGATTGTTAATGCATGCATCTCATGGTTAATAAACCAAGGGGAATTAATTATATTGATTAAACTAATAAACCGCTTGTGTTGAGATTATCAATCTCAATCGTTTTCATCTTAAGCTTATTGCTACTATCGAATTAATCGTTTTCATCTTAAAACTAATTTTTAACTATGAAAATTAGTGAGAGATAGGAAATCCTCTCATTAATGGTACTTCTTATTTACTTTTTGTGAGAGTACAAAATCCTCTCGCTAGAAAGATAACTTTTAATGAGTAAATTTTACCTCTACTCTCATTATTGATGATGAAAATTTTAAAACTATGGTTGGTACTTCGTATTTTATGGTCGGTGCCTATTCAATCCAGCCGAGTAAAAAATCCCCTGCTAAACAACTAGTACTCCTGTAGATCGGTAAAATACACTGTACAGCCGACTGTACCGTGCGCACAGTACAACCGGTCTGTTTTAGCTATGCGTTTCTTTGCTTCGCACCAGAAGAAGAAGATCCAACTTCGCACCAAGCTTCTCATCATCTCCGATCTCGCTGGGTTCTTCGATCTGCCCTGATTGATTGTCGCCTACGCTCACCACTTTTTCTTTCTCTTCCAGCTCGTTGCTCGTTGCCGCTTCTCACCGCTCATCCCCTTCTCCTCTAGCACGGATGTAGCAGATCCCTCTGCGCAATTACTTCTCCTCCATCTGTCTGTGTTATCTCTCCTTTCCTTTTTCTCTTTTTCTTATTCAGTTTTTCTGTTTCAGATTATAATTTTGGAAGACAAAGAGAGCCTACTGAAGACAAAGTAATCCTTATTATTATTGATCTCAAATGAGTTTTATATTAAACTCAAATGAGTATACACATAAAAGAAATGAAAATACACAACTGAATATTAAGCATGTTAAAAATGAGTTTTATATTAAATTCAAATGAGTATACGCATAAAAGAAATGAGCATACATAACTGAATATTAAGCACATTAAAAATGAGTTTTATTTTAAACTCAAATGAGTATAACGCTCAAAATCAATGAGCATACACAAATGAGCTTTTGAATTTTTTTGATACTCATTTTGCAGATTATGTATGCTCATTTGGTACTGCTTTATGCTCATTTTAAAATGTTGCTCATATCAAACATATCATACTACATTGGATTCACATATTGAAATTAATTGAAATTGATTATTAACATCATTTAATAATTTTTTATAAACGAAAAAATAATAAAAAGAAACTGAATTAGAAGATATGAAACAAAGATCACTAGTGCTCATTGTTAGGCTCCTAATACTAAAAAAGAACAGACTTGATGTTCATTCAAATTGCATTAATGCTCATTTAAGAGAATCCGTGATTTTCACTAAAATTACAAAACTGCCCCCGACTATAAGGTGAAGCGTACACTCGGGCTGTATGATATAGATCTGCCAAAAACCATCTCACGAAAGAAATTTTTCCAGCCGCCCAAAACCATTCACTCCCCCTTCTCCATTTTTTTTACCTCCGGCTCTTCGTAATGAAGCTTCCATCTTCGGCAAGCGCGAACCAACAGCCCTCGTTATCTTTTCAACTCTAACGATCTCTGCTATTAGAATCTCGATTCGCTTAGTTGGTCCTTGGATTCGCTCAGATGGTTCTTGGGTTCGCCGGTTTTCGAATTTTTCTTGGATTCTTCAGTTCTCGGATTCCTCTTGTGTTTGCCAGTTCTCTGATTTGCCGGTTCTCAGATTCTTCTCTGACCTAACCAGGTTTCACATTATTTTGTATTTATTGATTTTTACACTTCTCCGATGCATAAAAGATGTTCTCAGTTTGATTTCGATTCTAAAACTAGTTCACTAATGCTCTAATGGCTACAATTTCTGTTGTTGTTATTCAATTTTTTACAATTTCTATTGGAATTTGTATGTTATGAGATTTGATTATTTGACCAATTATGATTTTGAGATTGAAATTGAAACTACTTTACACTTTCAGTATGTTATGAAGTTTATTTATGTTCTAAAACTAGATATTTTTATGTTATGTTCCTTAGCTGTTGTCATATTTTGAATGGAGAGGCCTAAGTACTGATACATGCATAGGTTTCCTTGAGTTGGCATATTGTAGCAGTTGTCTCTGCTACTATTAAGTTGGAGAAAGTTTCCAAAAATGGAGGCTGCAAGTGCTGCTTTGAATGACTTATACAGAAGTTTTCACCCCTATTCAGGGGTTGTATAGACTTTTGGTAAGAATTAATTTTTGGGCCTGAATACAATGTTCCTAAATGTAGTTGTTTGATTTATGCTAAATACTATGTATATAGTTGCTTGAATTTAGCAACTACTACGTTTTAAATATATGATTTGTAAAAATGGTTTCTATCTTGAATTACTAGTTGTACTAGTCATACAAACTTATTTTGTTGGCAACAAGTCAACAACTACTCTGTATAACTTTAGTTTAGTAATGGAAACTTTTTATTATATTTATGTTATATAGATTTCACTATCTCCTGTCAATGGCACCCAACAAGAAATGGATGAGCTCGTTTAGTGATCAGCTGAACAAACAATATCAAGATGGTATTAAGGCGTTTCTGAATTATGCATTACTGAGGACATTCTAAGTGTAGAGGTATTTCACTCTATTGGTTTATATTTTCAAAAGCCTTTACAGTTCTAGGTTAAAACTCTAGGATCCCTTTATTAATATCATTATAATTCTAGGTTGCCTCTCAAATCCGGAACTAAAAATGTCAAGATACTTGGTGACCTGAAGTAAAATGAAAACGTTAAAGTATGTGAGACACTGAGACTTTAATTGGCAGATGGAGCAGAGCATGCTAGTACAGTTCAACTATACATCACTCATGAAAAATTGATGGGGATGAAGATCGAGCTTCTAGCTATTGGTGAACCCAAGACTATGAAGGTAATTAAATAGAATCAAGTTATTTACTTTGATATGCTTTAGTTAAGAGCTTTTAGCTCTTAGCAATCCAAGACTGGTTAAGTAATTAGATAGAACTAAACAGAGTATTGTTTAAATTGATATGCTTAGGTTAAGAGCATCTTTTTTATGATATGCTTCTTCTTCAGGAGTAGTGGTTGCCTTTAAATGAACACATGCAGAAGGCAGTCAAGGTAGAAATTTCATTTTCTTTTATTTACATTTTTCCTTGGATGTGTATTGAGTTTCGTTTGTGTGATGTTAGTAAATTTCCATGCATATGTTATGAACTACTAACTACTTTTAGTAAGGTGAGGGGGCTATAAATAGAATAAACCAGTTAGCAGTTGGGCAGTCGGTTAGATGCTTGGCTTGGGACTGGGAAGTTAGAGTCTTATCTCTAGCTTTGGGACTATTGTATTGTATACCGCCATTAATGAAGTTTGTGGATTGTTTCAAGCTCGTGTTGTATATTGTGGATTACGACTTGTTACTATCATTGGTATCAGAGCGTGTTTGATCGTTGGATGACCGTGACGCGCGCAAAGATGGAAAGCAGATTGACGGAAATTGAAAGGAGCCAGCGGGAGATGCAAGCTAGCATGGAGAGAAATTTGAGAGAGATGCAGTCAAATTTCACTACCGCGTTGGCCACGATGCAAGCTAATCTCGCGGAAATGCAGAACAGAAACTCGGATAGATCACGAAGTCGTTCACACCAATCGAACTCTTCGCGTCGATCATCACAGAGGAAACAGACGAAGTGTGATGACAGTTCGGAAGGTTCTGAAACCAATTCCGATCAATCTGGTTCGCATCCGGATCGCGAGCGCCATAATCAACATCGGAATCCTAATAAAGCTGGAAGGAAAATCGATTTACCGATTTTCAACGGAGAGGATGCCTTTGGTTGGTTGATGAGGATGGATCGATATTTCAGGTTGAATCAGACTGATGAGCGTGACAAAATTGACCTGGCAGTTCTGGCGATGGAGGACCAAACACTTAGCTGGTTCCAATGGTGGGAAGGTCAGACTCGCAATTTGAATTGGGAGACATTTACGAAAGATTTGACTACACGCTTTCAACCAGAGCTGGTACAGGATCCATTAGGACCGTTGTTCAGCTTAAAGCAGAGAGGAACTATGAAGGAGTACAGAGACAAGTTTGAAACAGCCATAGCGTCCCAGGGACACTTAACCGAGGAGGTTCTGAAAGGTGTTTTTCTTAAGGGACTGAGAAGAGATATCAGGGCTGAGCTGAAGTTGTATACTACACGAACCCTAGCTGAACTCATGGGCCAAGCTTCTCTTATTGAGAACAAAAATAATGAAGCAATGTTGATGAAGAACAGAGAGGAAGGGAAGAAAAAGGGACTGAGTAAGAATAATGGCCCAAATTATCAAGCAAATTGGGGTGAGGGGAGCAGATGGAATAGTATGGCAAACAGTAACTCTAACCTACCAAAGAGTAACTCAGATTACAGAAGCAATACTGACATTAAGGCACCTAATATGAGTAAATCAGGTCCCAGGTTATCCAGGAGTGAGCTCCAGGAAAGAAGTAGGAGAGGTTTGTGTTTCAAATGTGGAGAGGACTGGGGTAAGGGTCATATCTGTAAAATGAAGAACTATAACATGATTCTAGTGGAGCATTCTGAAGGAGAAGATGAATCTGAAGGAGAATTAATGGAATGGGGAGAAGAAGATGATCTCACAAACAACTTAACAACTTAAAACAATGCAACTTTCTGTTTTAAATAAGGAGGGTATTCCATCCATGAAAACATTCAAGGTGCAAGGTGTGTTGAGTTGGGATGATGGAAAACAACCTGTGAATATTCTGATTGACAGTGGGGCAACCCACAACTTCATAGTGCAGGGTTTCATTGACAGATGGGACGTAACTTTTATGCCTATACAAGGAGTGAGAGTGCAGATTGGCAATGGGGATCTCATCCATAATAATGGCAGATGTGATGGAATGAAGCTGGAAGTGCAGGGGAATGACATACATCAATCATACTATATACTGGAATTGGGTGGCACAGATATTGTTTTGGGTATGGCATGGTTGACTGAGTTGGGAGACATGGAAGTGAACTTTCAGAAGCAAGTGATAAGATGGAAACAACAAGATAGGATAAATTGTATCCAAGGGGAAGCTGCACTGAATAATTGGGAGGTTCCAATGAAGACTATGCTTCAGATTCTGCAGACAGAATGGGATGGATACTGTCTGTATTATGGAGGGCAATTGTATGGGTTGGAACAGAATACTAAGGAAACCAAGGTTTGGGAGGACATCATTGCTAAATTTCCAGAGGTGTTTACTGATCAGTTGAAGTTTCCTCCTGCTAGAGACTGTGATCATGCCATAAACATCCAAGAAGGAGCCAACATACCAAATCTGAGGCCCTACAGGTACACATTTGATCAGAAAAATGAGATAGAGAAGGTAATTGGTGAAATGTTAAAAACAGGTATCATTAAGCACAGTAACAGTCCCTACAGTAGTCCTATCTTATTGGCTAGAAAAAAAGATGGTGGTTGGCGATTTTGTGGTGATTATAGAGCCTTGAATAAGATCACTATACCTGATAAGTTTCCCATACCAGTTATAGAAGAGTTGCTAGATGAATTGGGGGGGGGGGGGGCAGTGGTTTTTTCTAAACTAGATCTGAAGTCAGGTTACCACCAAATCAGAATGAAGGAGAGTGACACCTGTAAGACTGCTTTCAGAACACATGAAGGTCATTATGAGTACCTAGTCATGCCATTTGGGTTGACTAATGCACCTTCCACTTTTCAGGCTCTAATGAATGAGGTTTTGAGACCTTTCCTCAGGAAATTTGCATTGGTATTCTTTGATGATATACTGGTTTACAGCAAAACCAAGGAGGATCATAAAGAACACCTCAAATCAGTTCTGGAAGCTTTAAAGAAGAATGATTTAGTAGCCAATAAAAAGAAATGTTCCTTTGGTCAGGAGCAACTGAGTTATTTGGGTCATATTATTTCTGCAGAAGGGGTGGCAGCTGATCCTAGTAAAACTAAAGCCATGGTAGAATGGGGTGTACCAAAAGATTTAAAGGAGTTGAGGGGTTTTTTGGGTCTTACTGGATACTACCGGAGATTTGTCAAGGGCTATAGTCACATTGCTGCTCCATTAACACAATTGTTGAAGAAGGATGGGTTTAAATGGAGTGATATGGCTACAAAAGCTTTTGTGGAATTGAAGAATGCTATGTCTTCTTTACCCGTGTTGAGAATCCCTGACTTCAATAAAGTTTTTGTAGTAGAAACTGATGCATCTGGAAGGGGGTTATGGGCAGTACTTATGCAAGATGGGGGTCCCATTGCATTTTTAAGCAAGGAACTGGCACCTAAACATTTGAGTAAATCTGTTTATGAAAAGGAGTTGATGGCAATTGTGTTTGCAATTCAGAAATGGAGGCCCTACTTACTGGGTAGGAAATTTGAGGTTCACACTGATCAAAGAAGTCTCAAATACTTGACTGAGCAAAGAATCATGGGAGAGGATCAACAAAAGTGGATTGCCAAGCTTATGGGATATCTTTTTATCATTAAATATAAATCTGGATGTGAGAATAAAGCTGCAGATGCTCTGTCAAGGAAACCAAAATTGTCAGCCTTATCAATTGTGAATTGTCAGGAATGGGAAGGATTAGAAGATGAACTGCAGGAAGATCCAAAATGTGCTGATATTATTCAGAAGATTTTAAGTCATCCGGATCAAATGGTGGATTTCAGATTGAAGAAAGGGTTGTTATACTACAAGGGAAGGTTGATGATACCCCAAAATTCTCCTAGAGTGACAAGGATTCTTAGGGAATATCATGATTCTGCAACAGGACGACATTCTGGCAATTTCAGAACTATGAAGAGGATCTCAACACTGTTCTACTGGGTGGGTATGAGGAAGCAGATTCAGCAATATGTGCAGAATTGTGATGTTTGTCAAAGAAACAAGTATCAAGCTTTGAAACCTGCGGGGTTGTTACAACCTCTACCTATTCCAGATTGCATTTGGACAGATATAAGCATGGATTTCATTAGTGGTTTGCCAAAAGCTCAAGGGAAAGACACTATACTGGTTGTGGTTGACAGACTAACCAAATTTGCACATTTTATAGCTTTGTCTCATCCATTTAATGCTAAAGGAGTTGCTGAAGTCTTTGTCAAAGAAATAGTGAGACTCCATGGATTTCCAAAATCCATAGTGAGCGATAGAGACGGCATTTTCTTGAGTTCTTTTTGGTCTGAGTTATTCAAACTGGCTGGCACACAGTTGAAATACAGTACTGCGTATCACCCTCAATCAGATGGCCAAACGGAGGTTGTGAATAGGTGTTTAGAAACCTATTTGAGATGTATCACAGGGAAGAAACCTAAGGAATGGAACAAGTGGTTACCTTGGGCAGAGTATTGGTACAATACTAATTACCATATTTCCTTAAAACAAACCCCTTACCAGGCCTTATATGGGCAAGAACCTCAACCAATTATAAAAGAGGAATGGAATGTTAGCTGAACTCAAAGAAAATCTAGCTATTGCCCAGAATAAGATGAAGCAGCAAGCAGACAAACACAGGAGGGAAATGAAGTTGGAGGTGGGTGAAAAAGTTTTCCTGAAGATTCAGCCTTATAAGTTGCAGAGTTTGGCTAAGAGGATCAATCAGAAATTGAGTCCAAGGTTTTATGGACCTTTTGAGATCATTGAGAAGGTGAATGATGTAGCTTTTAAACTGAAATTGCCAGATGATTGCATGATCCATCCAGTATTCCATATTTCTTTACTAAAAAGGGCTCTAGCTTCCAATACTCGCTGTCAACCATTGCCTAAATGTTTGAGTGAAAACTGGGAATTGTTGGTGAAACCAGAGAAGGTGGTGGATACCAGAGAGGGAACAAATGGCAGAGTTGAAGTTTTGATACATTGGGAAGATCTGCCAGAATTTGAAAGGTCTTGGGAAGATGCTCAAGTGTTGAAGATACAATTTCCAGACTTCAAGCTTGAGGACAAGCTTGTTTCTTTGGGGGGGAGTATTGATAGGACTCCGGCTATTACAAATAATAAGAATAGATATGGTTTAGTCTATTCTAGAAAGAAGAAGTAGTTTAGTTGTTTGGCAGGCGGGTAGTTGTTATGAACTACTAACTACTTTTAGTAAGGTGAGGGGGCTATAAATAGAATAAACCAGTTAGCAGTTGGGCAGTCGGTTAGATGCTTGGCTTGGGACTGGGAAGTTAGGGTCTTATCTCTAGCTTTGGGACTATTGTATTGTATACCGCCATTAATGAAGTTTGTGGATTGTTTCAAGCTCGTGTTGTATATTGTGGATTACGACTTGTTACTATCAGCATATGCCTGTGTTGTATTTAATTTCTTGAATTTGAACAGAGGAAGCTGAAAATGAAAATATTTATGATTTAGTAATCTTATGAGCTTGCTTAATGCTTACTGACTTTTGTTCTTAGCTTTTCAAGTACTCTTCTACAAATAATTCATTCACACAATTAAAAGTGTAGCGGTTATACCTTTGTGATATTATTGTGTATGCATTCAGGTCAATTTAGATGTTCTGGTCCAGTGCCACTCATTGGTATAGGTGTACATGTAATAAATTACAAGAGTTTAACTATTCAAAAACAGAGCATTCCATTTATGTTTATTCAATGAGTTAGGAATGCATTAAGTTGATTGGATAACTTATTGATTATTTATCTTGATATGTAATACAGGGGCTTAGTACCATCAAAAATGAAGTTGGCTAGTGGATTAGAAGAAGCCAATTGGATTATAAGCTTGAACTACTCAAATTATGAAAGCTGGTGGAATAGAGATGAAGCATTAAAGACTTTTGATACTCGCTGATGTATTAGTTTTTTCTTAGTGTTTACTTTGCGATACTTTTTGCCTTTTTAGTTGTCTTTTCAGTGGACAAAACTTAGATTAGGGGTGTATGGCTAATGTACACACTGAATGTTGTTTTTTAGTGTTGGTTTAGTTTGTTACATTGATCTTGGAAATATAATTATATTATTATGTTTTATGGTTCAAGCATCTCATGACACATACATACACACTACATGTATGTGTTACGGACCAATATTATGGTCGTACATATGAACGCAGAAAGCAGTGTGGGGCAGAGAAGATTAATGACCAACGTGGCTAAGAGAAAAGAAATAAGAAGGCAGTTAGAGTCATATTAGTATTAGTATTTAATTAGTCCTACTTTAATTAGTGTCCCTTTATTTAAGTTGTATTAGAATTGCAACTTAGTTTCCTATTTGTTTTAGGAAACCCTTTATCTATTTAAGGGGATCCCAGCTACTTTAATAAACAGCTTTTTGGTTAATTAATCTTGAGATCTCTTGACTAGGTCGGCGATCGATAATTATCTATTAAGCCCCTATTTTCAGTTCATCTATTCCTCGTCAATAAAAAATAGCTCTCGAAACATCATCCCTTACCTGTGGTCAATCCCGTTCACGTCCTTGGACGAGGTCTCTAACTCACGCCCTTAACAGTATGTCTGCATGTGTGTGAGTATATGTATATATGGTTGGACTCAGGTCGGGCCACCCGGCCCGTGGACTGGCCTGGCCCGCTACTGTGCGGGACCGGGACCGGCCCGGTTCTCGGGTCTGGGTCGGGCCTAGTCCCAGGGGGTAGGCTGGGTCCGAGCTCGGGTCTCAAATTTGGTGAACCGGCCCGACCGGGTCGGGCCCGGGCCAAATTGAATTTTTTTTATTTTTTTTTTCATTTTTGGGGTTCCACCCGGGTTGGGCTTGATGGGTAGGATGGGTTTGGGGGGGTTTGGGAGGGTGGGGGTGACGGGGGGGGGGGGGGGGGGGGGGGTTAGGAAAGCAAAAAAAAAAAAAAAAAATCCAAACCGGAGGCCTGACCCGGTCCGGCCCGGACCCGGACCGGACCCGGTGGCTACTCGGGCCGGTCCTGGGTCCACCATTCCTGAACCGCCGCCCCGCCCGGGCCTAGGCCCGACCCGGACCCGAGTCCACCCCTATATGTTTATGTGTATATATATACACACATATGTGTGAGAGTGTGTGTGTCCTGATAGTAGCTAGTTGTATTAATGATGAGATCTTCTGTCACAAAAAGAGCCTTTTAATGAGGGTAAATAGACTCTCATTGCATACTTATTAATGACGGGATCTTATATCTGTCATTATTTACTTTTTACTGTGGAAGCAGTAGTGACGGGGGATGACGGGGGGTGACAGGAGATTTTCCCTCATTAAAACTCTTCTATGACAGGTTTCTATCTTTTAACTATGGTATCTCCCGTCACAATTGAACAATTTTCTTGTAGTGGCTTGTTCTATATTGACTCGATAGTAAGTTTTATTAATGAACGCATCTCAATATTAATAACTACTCTCGATGAACTGGATATACTCCTCGATTGAGTATTCGAGAGGAAGATAGTTAAAGATATAACCGGGACCGACGAACATTTCATTAAGTGAATAAAAGAAAAACCAAGTCCTCATCTCTATTAATCAAACTCATTTAAGTCATTCATCTTAGTGTTAATTAAATTAAATCTAATCAAACTCAAAACTCCCCTTTTGTTACTGTTATTATAAAAGATAAATATTCCTTTTCCTGTGGATACGAACCTTACTTCGTTATACTACGTATATTCATTGTATTGTATTTATTTTGAGTGCACCTCACGACAAGTGCACGTCACTCCTCCCCGATATCAGAGCTCATAATGGGGAGTTCCCTCCTCCACGGCTCCACCGGAAGCTCAAGTTGAGCCTCAGGATGGTTCATCCTCCGGGGCAAGCTAAGGCCGGAGGGCTTCATGTGGCGGAAGCGCCGACACAACTTACTATAGATGAGCCGTTGCATGCGGTACTGGCCGAGGTCGTAGAAGACCTTCATCTCCTTCTGTCAGTACTCCTGACCGGCGGTGTCATTCTGAGCCTAGTCCTCAAACCGAGCAGCCACCAGTTTGTAAAACCAGGGGCGCCGATCCTCGGCCTTCCACCCCTCGGCCAAGAAGGGGTCAATGACCCTGTCAGCCGCCGCTTCGGCTTCACCCTTTAGCCGTTCAGTTTCAGCCGCCCATTTCTAAGCCTGAAGCGCCGCCTCATCGACCTTCTGGCGGGCTGCTACTTCATCGTCCAACTTGGATTGTAGCTCCTTTTTCTCAGCCTCAGCAGCATCAGCCTTTGCCTTCAGGCTCTCAAGCTCCAGCCGCAGCTGCTCCAGCTTCTCCAAGGCCTCATCAGCCGAAGCGACCTTCTGCTCGACCTGCCTCAAACGGGCAATCTCCTCCTCTTGTCACCTCTGGTTATCCATAATCATAAAGACACCTTGGACGAAGAAGGAACAAACTAGAATGACAACAAATGCTTAAAAAACCTACCAAGTATAAAGGTGCTACTTACGGAGATGATGTTGTCCATACCGCCATCGTACAGTCTGACGTTCCACAGTCGACGGAGGTAAGACCGGTCCTCGTCTAGGATGGCCTGGGAGATGACCTCATGGCCAGTTACAATCTCATTAAACACCCCCTCTTGGGCGGGTAACGTATGACAACGTCATAAAGCCCCCTGACCACCTCTCGGCCAGATCCTTTTTTGCTTCGGGGAGGGGGTTGGGTGGTAGGACCCGAGGAAGGACCCACAGTCAGGTCCTCTACCACTACCACATCAGAAGTGAGGCCTCCCTCGTCCACATCTTGGACGATCATTGATCCAGCATCAGCACCGGAGGAAGAGGAAGCCTTCTTTGGCTTCTTAACGACCTTCGAAAGCTGCAAACCAGCCTCCGTCAACGTTTCCTACCCCTCTTCGGCGGGCCTTTTCTTCTTCGACAATGGTGGCCTTTTAGCAGGGTCAGATTTCGCCTTGCCCCCATCAAACAGAGGTCTGCTTACCAGCCTCAGCGGCCTTGGCGGCCTTCATCTCTTCGGCCACCTTCTTGGTGGCCTGCGCCATGAATGACATATGATTCGTGCTGAAGCCTGCAAAAAAGGAAATCAAATTAGCCAAAAAGACAAGGTAAACATAGTAACAAACATTAATATGGAGAACACCAAGAGGTTTTACCATCAGTCTAGGTCCACCGGCCTCCTCGAAGGAAGTGGTCATCTTCGACCAGAATCCGTCATCCACATCCCCTGGGATATAAAATCTGACGAAGCCGAGGGCAACCATCTTATACTCCGTAATGTAAGTTTTGACACTCCTCGGCCCACCCTTCAAGAACTCCTCCACCCAGACATCAATCGATGCACTCCTCGGAGGCTCATGCAGATGGAAGCTGGTAGGATGATTCACGGATGGAAAGAAACCACCCTCACCCAAATTGACGAAGACAAATTTCGCCTTCCAGCCATGGATGGACGTAAGTAGATCCTTAAAAGACCTCATATTCTTCACATGCTGAAGATTTGCATGGCCGGCACAGTTCTTGTGACTGTCTCGGACTATCTGGTAGAGGTTCGTAAACAGAGCTGTCGTCGACTTGATATCCAACTTAGAGCAGCGTATTAGGAACTCGACGATCAGGGAGTAGCTGTTGGGGGTGAGTAAGGTCGGAGGAACACGTACCATGTTGAGGTATTCCATGATGAACGGATGAAGGGGGAACCGGAGCCCCTTGGCAAAACTCATGGGGTATACCCCAAAATACCCCACCGGGGGATTGAGCACGTGATCTGTCAGCCTAGACGCCCTAACTCTGCCATACAGACCTACGTACAGCTGTGGTAGTCACTGGGGAACTTTCCAGCCGTATGATGTACAGATTACTGAGGTCCCATTCCGGACCCAGACCCTTCCTCTGACGCCGTCGCCGCCTCCTCGGCTAAGCATCAACCTCAGGAACATTACCCCTGATGGTAGAGATGGGGGAAGGGCATGTAATGGCAGCCGACGTCGAGGCCCCATCTTCTCTAAGGCGTGAACCTGAATCACCATCAACCCCATCAGATGATATTGAGGACGTATCACCGTCACCACTATGATGTCCCTCGTCGTCTTCAGTTCTATACGAACTCGTGCCCTCCATCTCCTCCATGAAGTCCTCGATTGTCTTAAGCTTAACTCTGGGAGAGGTGTCCTCCTCGTCAAAGGGGAAGTACTCTTCGTCTAGAGAAACCATAGAGATGGTACGTATGGATCTAGGTCAGTTTTCCTATGAACACTAGATCTAACTGCCCAAGATGCAAAATATGAAATAAACATGATAAACTAAACAAGAACTGACCTCGGAGTTGAAGAACACCTTGAAGATTTGAAGGTAGCTTTCTCTATCTAGAAATCTCACTAGCACTTCGTGACTCAACAGGATGGAAATGATGGAGCCGCTTCGGGTTAGCGAGGTATTTATAGACACTCCCCCAACGGTCACTACATGTGGCACGCTCCCAATAGCCACACCAACGGTCGCCTCCACTGGAACCAATGAGGTGCCACCCCTTCAAATTCTTGGTAAGGCCCACCTTATCTAGCCACATTAGCCGCAAACGAAGGGTCACACAATGGTTCAATGAGCCACAGACATCACCAACAAGTCAGCGGCCACATGTGACACTTCAATGGCCACAAACATAGTCAATAACTCTATGGCCACAAGTGGCACCTCAACGGCCACAACTACAATAAGATACGATCCAACAGCCATCGCCTCCTCGTACAGAACCTATTTGATGATAACCTCTGGAATGAGACCTTCGTCCAAGGGTTCTCCCATAGGGTTACCTTGGTCAGGGATCGCCAAGAGGTTGGATTCCTGAGGAATACGAGGGTTCCGCTTCGGCCTGGGACTCTATCTTACTCCTTCACCCCTAGTGTACTCTTCGGCATGAAGGAGTGGAGGACTGTATCGGCCTCCACACAAATGTGAATATTCCAAAAACAAAAGTTAAAAAGGCACCACAATGTCCACAATCAGGTGGTTCACCTTCGGTTACAGCCAGTAAACAGAAACATGAGAGTAAAAGAACAAGGGCAGACATCGCCCTCACAACGTAGACACTCATACGTGATACGTCCACAAGAACAAGGACA